ACTGAGAGACCATTTTGAAGGCTCAGGAAACCTTTGCAGGTGTTTTGAGTTGATTAGCTGATTGGCATGTCACCGTATTCTAATTTGTTGAGATTTGGTGGGTTTTTGTTAAATGTGAGCCAAAATCATCACAATTAAAAGAACCAAAGACTTAAACTACTTCAGTCTGTGTGCATTGAATTTATTTAATAAGTTGAATTACTGAAATAAATGAACTTTTCCACGACATTCTAATTTATTGAGATGCACCTGTAATCTTCCTCATTTATCTAAATTCCTCAGCATATCTTTTTTTTTACCATAGAATTTTTAATGTGGCAAATTGCATTTTTACATTTTATATCACCCCACCCACCATATATGACCCTACCCAGCCCCAACAAAGCAATCCCCAATTAAAACACAATGACATCTGAAAAAATAAATAAATAAAAACTTTTTACAAAAAAATTAAACTTTTACAAAAAATACAAAAAATACATAAAACAAATTAATAATAATAATAAAATAAGGGTTATACATATATACCTCCACTAAATCCACGTCTAAGATTTGTAAATTATTAAAGAATGTGATAAATTGTTGCCATTTTTCAAAAAAGATTTCCTCCTACCTCTGATATTGTACTTAATTTTTTCAAGTTTAAAAAAAAAAAAAAGACAGGTCCAAGATAACAGTATTCTGCGCCTAGCAAGAAGAGATGCAAAAGCTATGACGTCAGCCTGTCTCTGGCTTAAAGGCTGACACCAAGAAGGAACACCAAAGATTGCAATCCTTTTTTTTTTTACGACCTAATGGCATGTTGAGAGTTCTCCCTCTCACTACATTTTACATAGGAAAGACACATAATGCACAGCAAAATGGACTCTTCTCGTCTTCTTCTGCTAAGTCTTCTGCTAAAAATCTTCTGATTGCGGCCCGTGTTGGAGCTTGAGCTGGTGCGGTGGGCTCCAACACATAGTCGGTCAGTCTGAGGTTCTGTTAGATACGGAGAAGATGAGGATGTGAGCTATAAGTCTTCTGTACCTTAAGTCTGCGCCAGGCCTCGGGCCTTGACTTTCCATTCACCAAAGATCCTAGGATCTCAGCTGATGTCTCTCTTAGCTCTTTTTCACTTTCCACTGGGAAGAACATAGCACATACCGAACCGTACCGAAACCATGATTCTAAAACCGTGATACAAACCGAACTGTGAGTAAGTTGAACCGTTCCACCCCTACTATATAGGAGCTAGGGAACTATTCAGACAGTATAGTTTCTATTGGGGATAAAGAAGTCCGATTTTGCGTTGTGTCACGCAAACCATTGCAGCACATATAGTCTGCTCCGTTGAAGAGACACAATAGCACGGAGCAGATCATATGCGCGAGTCGGCGCAGCCCATAAAACTTATCAGACCCATTTGAATTCTACACAGAATGCTATATTTTTTGTGATATGGATGAGATTAGGAGGAGAAGTGGTTTAGACAAACAGCACTGATGAGTAGAAGAGATACCGAGTAGAGGTCTGCGCGGGACTATTTTTTTAGTCCCGCTCCCGCTATGTATTCACTCTTTGTTCACCCGCTGTCCGCTTAGAATAATTTTCTTCCTGAACCGAACTTTAGCCGTGGAACTTGCTAACTAGCACATTATTAGGAAAGGCAGTTTGCAAAGATCCATAAAAAAACTTATACTCACTTCTTCTGTAGGTGAAGCTGGATCACAAAAGATTTGTGCGAACAAATGCATTTAGGTAGATCGGGGTGCATTCCCTTCAAATACAAAAGTAATCCACTGCGTCTTCAGTGGCTCAGATGTCAGGAGTAAATGACGACTGCTATGTTCATTATAACATCCAACAACAAAACACCTCGCTTAGGAGAAATTCTTGTCTACCTCTCGAAACAATGGCGGACTGTTGACAGCTCACTCAGGGCGCCAGTGTCAATCAACAATCATGGGAGGGGCCTGGGTCTGTGTGACATCACACAGCCAAGAATCTGAAAATGGCTTGATCTGAGAAAGGGGTTATAACTTCTGGGGATTTAAAAAAAACACTGGGTGGATTTTTATCATTATACGGTGGTTGTGCACACTGACAAGGCACATTTCAGTTCAAACAACATGTAAAAGTGAATTTTGCATCCGATGACTCCTTTTAACAGTTAACGTGATTTGGCTCTTGTTTTTATTTATTTTTTTTCTTTGCCGGGAGGCAAACACAGCGAAAATGCACGGAGTAGTAAGAGCATCTAGTTCACAGTGGCTAAAAAAACGCGTTGTGAAATAATAAAACTGGGGGCAATCACAGACATTCGCATTTGATTTCTCAGATGATCACTAAATTTGCCAAAAAACAGTAGGTAATTTGCTCTGGGATTATTACAAAGGTCGTGTGAGGAAAAACAGACTTGGCAGATTCAGACGGGATTAAAATCACAAAGTACGTCTGTAAAACACAATTTCTCTAATGACTCCCTGGAAAACTAATCCCCTCTGAATAGGGCTTAGGGCTGCACAACGTTTTGAAATGCTAAAATGTACAATACTGCAATATGCAATTTCAGCATTTCAGCAATACAACTGAAATGTTCCCAAGTCCAGAGACGTAGCAAGGAGATCGGTAAAATAATCCCTGTGACATCAGGGGTTCAACCGTAATTTTACGAAGCTACGAGAATCTTTTTTGTGCGCAAAAGAAGAAGAAAAAAACAACGACTATTCAACAATTCGTCTCCTTCCGGCACCCTGGTGCCATTTTGGAGAGTATAAGCTGGACGTAAACGGCGAATGCTGTTCTGTGTCAGCTGCGTCACGCCGGATCTGTTTTCCATGTTGTTGTGATTTGAACTGAACGAAAACAGTGTATCCGTGTGACGCAGCTGACACAGAACAGCATACGCTGTTTACGTCCAGCGGATACTCTCCAAAATGGCACCATTTTTGAATAAATTGTTGAATAAAGTCGTTCTTTTTTTTTTCCTTTGCGCACAAATTATTCTCGTAGCTTCGTAAAATTACGGTTGAACCCCTGATGTCACACAGATTATTTTACCGATCTCCTTGCTACGTTTCTGGACTTGGGAACATTTCAGTTGTATTGCTGTCTATGCAGGGTCAGACAGCTCTCAGATTCCATCAAAAATATCTTAATTTGTGTTCCGAATATGAATGAAGGTCTTACGGGTTTGGAACGACATGAGGGTGAGTAATTAATGACAGAATTTTTGGGTGAACTAATCCTTTAACTTGTATGGAACATCTGCTGTTTTATTAGTCCAGCATAACACAGGTTCTGGAGTTTCATTCAGTGAGTGCTATGGATATATACTCACAGGTGTACCCAGTTTGGCCTGAGAAGATAATTTCTTTTTCATGGCTTTCTCATCAAAGTTGGCACTTCTCTTCACATACACACCTCCATGCTGTGAAGGACATCAATCATAGTCAAACCACAAACATACAACCGGTCCTATTCATGGAACACTAGCAGAATTAACTTATGTGTAAACTGTATATAAAACCATTCAAAAACCAAGAACATAAATGAGGTCTAAAGGTTTTGAATTAGATGCATACACTACCTGTGAGAAATACCATCCATACAAAGGAAGCCACTTCAGACCATCTTTCAGAACGTATCTTACGTGTCCAAGTGCATTTTGTCGAATGGCTAACATGTCAGCAATGATCCAATCAGCTACAATGGAGAACACAACCCTTACAAATGGTACAGTAATGGTGTCAGATACCATGATACTGAGATATATGGTGTGGTACCATATTATTTACCAACAAATAAATATACATATAAAAAAAAAGTTTTCCCATGGTATGCATCAACTATTTTGTAACATTTATAGATAAGAGCATTGAGACTTACTTGTGGATTGATGGTTTGACAGGTAAACCACATTCTCCTTCTTTGGTATGTCCCCATAAATGACAATCTGGACAGATATTTTTTATGAACATTTCAATACATTAGACAACAAGAACAATATAGTTAGAATGAACATGACTTTGAGGATATTACTGTCTGAAAAAAGGTCTAGTTTCTAGTTTTATCGTAAGTGGAACAACTGTGTTTTGTTCAATAAGCTTAATTGATATGGATTTTGTTCCCTTAAAAGGTGAACACTGCTGATAAATGAAATCAACATTCAAACAAAAACACCCCTACCCAAAACAAACACAGCCCTCCCTTCATGGCTTTGCCACAAAAATCACAAACACACTATGCAACACACACATTTTACACACAAAAACAAAACAAAATACAGGTCCATACCCCTCCCCCCCAAAAAACGTTCTGAAACTTACACGAACCCTAAAGGAGTGTATTTGGCACAAATACTCAAGTCAAACGTCCAACTTGTTTTTTTTAAACTTTGGCCATGTTTAGCATCAGAATTCAAATCCCACTTGTATCATGGTTCAACTTGAAATCTGACAACACATCTATAATAAAGTTTGTTATAAATAACAACATGTAAAACAGACAGAGTTTGGCTAATGTATGTTTCGGTTGATGGGTATGAGCATTCTGGCTTCCCAATACATTACAACAACGGCAAAGGAAAAAAAAAAAACACATGGACAAACCAGTCACTCTCTGTTCAGTGTGAGTGCCACATGCTCAAATATGACCTGTCATTTATGCTGTCATCACCCAAGGGTTGATAGCGTGCACGCAGGTGAGACCTGAACAGCACATGTTGCCATCTGTGTTTAAACTAAACTCATTTAAGCCTTGCCAGTTTAAACATTCAAGAGCCAGAAGACATGAATGAGAACTCGCACGCGCACACAGGGAGAAGATTTGTGTGCACGCTCATCCATAGCGAGCAAACTCGTGTCTCAGAACTTGAACAAATATTGAGTTTGATTTCAAGTCTTGTGCTTGAATGGACAAATTCACACAAAAATTATGTCAAAATACCCATCTTGATAAGTATCCTAGCAGACATAGTTGAAAGTACAGTATCAGTGTACTGGATCTGTGCATTGACAGCACTTATTTTAATGTTAATCAAACAACAAGCACAAGGAAACCACTCACTGCTTTTGACTGAATAGCTTTTATATCTTAAAAAAAAAGAGATTAATCTTTAATTTATACTGTCAAATATGCAGTGTTATTTTACTTTATTCATTTTCTGTACCTAAAAACTAATGTTAGACCTACCTAAAAACCTGAAAAGCACTGTTTATTTTATTTGTACTTTTGCTCGGTTGTATTTATTTGTGCTTGTAGTGTATGTATGTATTGTGTTTCTTGTAGTTAGATTATTTGTTCTTATTTTCTTTATTTTTATTTGACCGTATAGTTTTTTCCCTAAACATAGCACATACCCAACCTTTCCGAAACCGTGACTACAACCGTGATACAAACTGAATCGTGAGTAAGCTGAACTATTACACCCTTAATAGGTAAGCATTATGAGTGGTGGCTGCACCAGCGCTATCGATGAAATAAGAGGGTTACAAACATGCCTGCCTTGATATATTGATGCTCATGAGCGGCGCTAGGAAGGAGCTAGCAGGTGCTCCAGCACCCCCAAGAAAGACCAAAGCACCCCCATACATAAAAAAGATTAAATAAAATAAAAATTTGACTCATTACACATGCATTACTTGTGCAATGTAATACAACGTGACGTGATTTGCAGTCGCACATTTCGTAATGTCATAGGATTTTATTTTAATAATTGATCGGTTCCTTGTGCCAAGTAGGCCTGCCCCAGACTAAGGATTTTTCTAGTCAACTAGTCGCACGTTTATATTAAATTGACTAATATAATAACCTACTAAACCATCTTTTAATAGGGTCATTCTGTGTCAACTCAACCAGAGATCCCCGGCTCAAATTTTTTATTTTGATAATAGTTTAGTGATGAAAGCCAAAATATTAAATGTCATGGATGAATATTTACTGAGTAATGTGCTTTTTTGAAGAGGAGGGTCAAAATGGCAATTTTCACCCAAGATTCAGAGCCAAATTGTAGGGGGATAAAAATTACTTCAGAAATATGGCAGCAGCATAATGTTACTTTTACACAGAAATTGGTAGGGTATATTCACACCTGTCTTGTTTGGTTCGACTGAATCGAACTCAAGTTTGTTACCCCTCTTGGTGCGGACCTTTTTGGCAGCAATCGCACTCTTGTGCGGACCAAACAACCGTACCGAGACCCAGCTGAAGAGGTGGTCTCGGTCTGCTTCCAAACGAACTCTGGTACGGTTCGTTTAAGGTGTGAATATGACCCGACCTCGATCCGATACAATTGCAGAAATCACGCTCAGAAACAGACAGCTCTCACATATAGTGCTGTTATTTGCATTTCAATGGCTTAAATAACTTGTTTTTAAACCACAATGCTTAAAAACACATGCAAATTATGAGTATTTGTGACCATGGCGTACAGCAACGTGACCGGAGCGTGCTAAATAGGCTAAAGCTTGCTGCAAAAATTACCATGACTATGTTGGGGGAAAATAGTAAGGAGATATTTGAATTATTTATTAATAAACTAGTGTTTTATGAGTCAGTGTCGCTATAAAGTTGATGATCCTGACTCACCATCTCATCATTGGACGCGCCTTTAGAAAGAAATGCATCTTTACGGATTACATAATAATAAGAGGTTATGGATTTGGATTATTTCGTTTTGTAGTCATTTAAAGCTTTCTATAGATATATTCATCAAGTCTATGCGCTTGCCGGCTCTGTCTTGATATTGTGAGTGCACACAAATAAAAATAGACCCTTTACAGTTCCGAACGATGTATTATTCTTACTTTTATGAGCAAAAATGATGACGTATTAAATTTGTTTCCACTGATGTCCTGAAGCGCACTTCAGCTTCCACTCTCCGCTCAAACGATTGGATATGCACCTAATAGCGCACATTTATATAGGTTAAATGTTTAAACTAACATTGTGATATACTTTAAATATTTTATATCTGTAGATTTTATTTTCGGCAACTCGTAATTACAACATCGTATGACATTGTCTCATATGATGCTCATAAGTTTCTTCATATTGTGTTAGTATCTGAAAACACCAATTCATTAAAAGAATAAAAATTGACGAAAAATCTCCATGATTAGCCTGTTTTTGCACTTCCTGTTTTTCACTGCTTGAGAATTTCTGTCCAGTAAATGGATGACCCTAGCACACGTGTGGTTTTGTTTACAATTTCTGGTTCACTTGCAAAAAAGGGCAGTGTGAAAGCGAACCGCACCAAACAAAAAAAAAAAATCTACATTGTATTGGGTCCGGACCAAAGCAAGTGAACTAGCGGACTTTCCTGGTGTGAATACACCCTTAGTAAAATCTGTTGATTTTAGCAATCTTTGCTGCATTATGTGCCAATGGTGACCGTTCAAAAATGGGGAAAGAGCACTTTTCAAGTAGATTTAATACTTTTTTAAAAAAGTATTAAAGATATCTTAATGCCCTTTTAGATTTTGGGTCTTAAACTTTTCTCTTGACGTCTTAATTTTGAAGGCCCTATATTGTTCAGTTCTCGAGATATTGGAATTTCAATATGGCTCCAGGAGTAAATCGTTAAATTGTACACATTTTTAGTAGTCAAAAACCAAATGTGGGTCAATATCCAAAAATATGATACTTATTTTCTTTTAAAAAGGAATGTCTGAAGAACAAATAATGTTGAAACTAGAAATGTATCGTGTTTCCTTCTGTCAAAAAAACTGCATTGAACATAACTGTCCGAATGCTATAAATATTATTTTTCCAAAGTTTGCGTGCCTATAACTCAAGAAGTCTTAAAGGGGTCATATGATGCAGAACAGATTCATTGTAGTCTACTCTCCCAGGAAACAGTCCTCCATAAAATGCGTTGCACACATCTGAATATTTCTATATATACATCTGAATATTGTTTCGAAGAACGTTTAAACCCAGAGAAATAAGCAATTTTAACTAGTGACATGGACCGTGTCTATAGTGTCATTGTGTCCCCTGCCAATGACGTCATACACCCTCGATTTCCGGTTTTGTTTTGTAGAAAACATGGAAACACCAAAGATGCTTTATGTTGTGCGTTTTATTAGACAGGTGACGACTGCACAGTCATTGTGTCGCCTGCTAATGACGTCATAACCCCTCGATTTCTGGTTTTGTTTTGTAGAAAACATGGAAACACCAAAGACGCTTTAATATGTTATGCGTTTTAATAGACCAGTGACGACCGCACATAGCAGCATTATAACAGAACTTTCAAACGTATCTAGTATGATAAAACAACGCTGCTTTACTCCACATACACACAACCGGAAGGAGGGGAAGCGCTAAAGTGTAGCATAATAAAATCTCTGCTGCTTTCAAGCCGTGTGTCACTCTTGTCTCTCATTAGCAATTGCTTCAGTGGCCTCGTTTCGCTTCGACTGCTTTCCGCCTCACACTGCTTCATACTACGATGTTAATAAATCTTTAATACATTAGCTCATCCATGAACATGATTTCTGCCTGAGTCCCGTCAGATTGCGTCGCCTGTGGGGATGAAGACGACAACTCCCATGATTCCACACTCAGTCATGGCGTCATCAAACTACGCCTTTGTTTCTTTGTTTGTTTTGAATACGCACCCTCTAGGAGTGAAAACTTGCATATTGTACCTTTAAGTAGTATCTACTGCTAAAGGGTATATTTGGCAGAATCACTGATAATACCTCAAACATTTAAGATCTCTCACACTTGGAATAATTAACACTGGGTAACACTGGCTAAACCCCCAGGTAAACAGGATCCTGAGTAATAATATTTTACATTTCACACTGTTCATACTTTACCTAGAGTTAACAATTAATCTTGGTCATTCATAATCTGACGAATTCTTCAGATATTCTGCTTTAAATACAACTAAATAAAGTTTGTCAAGACAAACTTTAGGTTGGCTTGAGAAAGTCTAGCCTGAAA